GTGAATGTTTAATTAATGATTACTCTAATCGTAAATGAGGATAATTAAATAACTGTATGACATGAATCACATTTTGTTGTATGATCTTTATGATGTACTTGTGAGTGTAATTTGGTGTGTGAATAGGCATCGAATTTCCATGTTCTGACATAAATATTGAATCCTGTTTCCATTTTCGAGCACAATTATGGGATCAGTTGCAACATTTCAGCATAATTGCCACATTCTTGTAAGCTAACAGTTTGGATTTGGGTTCTGTGAGAGGACAATTGAATTATGTTATGTATGTGCTTGTGATGATTACGTTCATATCTAATGATGATTGATATTGAAAGACTATTTGTTGCTCTAAAATGATCTAATTGTACATTGTTGAGAATTGTGAAATTGTTCGTTCATGTGAATGATGATAATATTGTATATGCTTGGTAGTTACTTGTTTTATAATGTTGTGGTTACTTACATGTGTTTCAGTTAATGGGATAGCCGCGTGATCCTACAAGTATGCTATGGTTGTATACTGGTACTGCTCATGCTCTTCTTTGCTCGAGTACAAAGCATCTTTAGAAGCTACTAACCAACCTTATTTAGATGATCATAGACACTTTGAAATCAAGGGTGAGATATTTCTTCTAGGCTACCTTGATTTCTCTTTTGTTTAAGTCCACTCTCTTTTGACTCAGACTATTCATTAAGTTGATGTTTATTTTAGGGGATGTATCCCTTGTTCTTAATCATGTCTTTAGTAGAGTTCTGGTACACTGACTTTTAGGTTCTAGAGGTTGTATTTTGCATTCTTGTTAGTTCTTTTGTTTAGTTCCTTATTAAATCACTTAGTTATTTTAAACTTCTTTTGTATCTTTAGCTGCCTATTTTTTCGTTAAGTTTCTTGGTTGGGTTGTAGTTATGGTTCTCCCACCGAAGGGTTAGTGTGGGTGCCAATCACGACGGTTGGGTCGTGCCATATATATATATATATATATATATATATATATATATATATATATATATATATATATATATATATATATATCCACACTCCCAACATTCATACAATACTTTGACTAACTCCAATCAAAGCTTGGATGAGGGGAAAATTGTCTTTTTAATATGAAGGTTGAAAGCACAAATTTCTAGATATAAATAATTGAAATTGGTCGCTAAAGTCTCTTTTTGGTCACTAAAAACCTGCAGTAGATTTCAGCACTTCAAATGATTTGCTCAAACTCCAAATTATCTAGCGGGATGTTAGGGACTCACTTGAAACCTCAAGCACACAAACAAAATATGGTACCCCATTAATTTGGCATTCTAGACTAAATAAGATCAGCAAAACTTCTATCCGACGTTGCTTCATTAAAAGTGGGTCCCTCACTCAGGTATAAGTTCTAGCTAAAACCAACATAAAAGACCTCAAGATGAGACTAGAAGCCTAGGAAAATGCACAAGTGGACATTCTAGATCAAACACAGTAGTGCTTGATTATGAGATCATTCTGAAGATTCTTGTTATACTTTGCTACTAGGAAAGAACTCTTTGATGTTGAAAGCAGTGAATTGAAGTTCTGGGCGAACAATTACGAAGTAACTTTCAATATACAAAAGTCCATGAAACATTCTAATGATATGAATGTGGTATCGTATATGGATGTGATTGATCAAGCAGTGGCTAGTGTGGTGCGGAGTTTCAGGTACCAGAGAATAGTTAGTAGCTACTTTACTCAATTTTCATGGGGAGGAAATCAGTTATTTTGATGAAATTGTTGCAGCGCTTGTTGGTTAAGGCTCATTATCATTCAACCCCAAGAAGTTAGACATTGATTTGATGAATCAGAAAACTCCTCCTGTTAGACCATACACTGAGGATCCAGTTAAGTTGATATTGAAATAGTCATCACATTTTTGATATGTGTTTCTGATAATAAATTGTCGTTAATTGTTAATAATAACATACCGAAAGGACTAGCAAAGCTTTGGGTTGGTCAATCCCTAAATTTGTCAGGATACCTCTAGGTGTTTTCACTCATAAACTTCAACTAGCTTATATTTTCAAGTCCAGCATTGATCATTAGAGGAGGCTAAATACTTTAATGAAAGAAGTGATGATACAATGTGTTCCTAAGAAGAGTTATATAATCATGGTGTCAATGAAAAGAATGAGTTTGTGGCGATTATCTCCTTACCGGGTGGAGAATGCGTATGGATTATCGTACCCATAAGTCATGGACCAATAAAGACCATTCTCAATGCTCTTTATTTAACAAATATTGAATCATCTTGCAAGTAGATGATGATGTTGCTTCTTAGACAATTATTAGAGGTAAAACCAAATTTCCTTAGCCCCAGAGAATGAATAAATGATATTTCTTCAATTTCGTATGGAACATTTGGTTCCAATAGATTGTCATTTAGCTTATGCAATGCTCCTGAGATTTTTTAAAGTTGCGTGTTATCGATCTTTGTGAATACGGTTAAAGAGTCCATCAAGGTGTTCATGGATGATTTTTTCATTTTGAGTGATCCATATTACGAATAATTGATCCAACTGAGTAAAGTGTTGCATCATTTTGTCGAGACAAATCTTATTCTTCATTGGGTAAAATGTCATTTCATAGTAAATGAGGAATTGTACTAGGGAATAAAATTTCAGAAAATGAGGTTGAAATTGATCAAGCGAAAATAAATGCCATTGCTAAATTGACTCTCCCAATTTTGGGGTAAGGTGTGCAGAGTTTCTTAGGTAATGTCAGATTATATAGGCGGTTCATAAAACAATTTTCACAAGTTGCTTTTCGTTTGTGTAAATTGTTTGGAAAGATATTGTCTTTGACTTCGATGCAAATAATGTGAAGGTGTTCTTGTTTTTGTAAGACAAACTTGTCTCAATCCAATCCTTATTTGTCCTGATTGGAGTGTTTCCTTTGAGATGATGTGTTATACTAATTGTGTAGTCCTTGTTCCTATCTTTGGGCAACACAAAAATAAACCCTTCCATCTGGTCTATTATGCTAGCAAGGTGCTAAATAGTGCACAAAATAACTATACCGTCACGAACGAGATTTTTTTGTTAACGTGTATGGCTTTGAGAAATTTAGAGCCTATTGCTTAGTTAATAAGGTGATTGTTCATATCGACCAAGCCTCACTTAGCTACTTTAGAGATAAAAGAATTCAAACCAAGGTTGATTTGGTGAGTGCTTCTATTTATAGAATTCCATTTCTATGTTAATGATTTAAAGGGTTGTAATCAAGAGTCTGACCATCTATCTTGTCTTGAACCTAGTGTGGCATTGGATGAAGAAAGAGATATAGAGGAAAATTTTCCTGATGAGTTGTTTATGATGCTTTTTTCATGGTTCAACCCCATTGTATGCAGACTATGCTAATTATCTGGTTTGTGAAAGTGTGCGTGATGGGCTGAGTTGTTATCACAGAACAAGTTTCTCTTTGATGTGAAAGAAATATTTTTGGGATAAACCCTGTCTTTTTGGGGAGTGTGATGATCATATAATCTGTCGATGTGTTCTAAAAGTTGAGATTGAAGTGATTCTTAAGGCTTACCATGCGTCACCGGTAGGTGGGCAGTGTTGACAAACAATTTTGGACCTCCACAATATAGATTAATGATTGAGTTTCTTTGATTTGAAACGATTTAAAATAATTTATTTTAGTAACCTAAATGTTTTCTAGTTATTTTTAAAATAATTTTGTCATTTATATTTTAATTTTAAATAATAATATGTCTTTAATATATTTTACATTTTATAAATATTCAATAATCATCTTTAATAATATTTTGTTTGATTAATTTAATTATGTAGTAGTTTATATTTTTCAGTTAGTAGTTTAAAATTGAATTAGCTGTTTAAGTAGTAAAGATTAAGAAAATCATTAATTAATTTACATTAATTCATCTTATTTGATTTTTAGCTTAATTTTTCAATAAAATTCAATTGAAGGCTAAATTCTTAATATACCTGGCTAGTTCTAGTCTTAATTTCAAAGATATTGGATCATTTTCTCCCAACGATTATAAAGTTCATTCCCATAAATTCCGATACCAGAAAGACCCAGCCCAACACCAATTAAATAAGGTAAAATTTTCAAATCAACAATATTTTAGCATTTTATAGGACCCCTTAACTATAGTTTCAATATTTATTAAATATGGAAAATTTTCAAAATTTCAATATTTTAGTATTTAATGGGACGTCTTATCATCATTTTCAAATTTATCAAAAATGTCAATAGTTTAATTTGTTATTTTTCTGATTTATGTATTTTTTATTTATTTGAGTTGAAAGAATACAATTATATAATAGCATAAAGGAGAAATCAAGGGAGAAAATATTTTTGAAAAAGGAACATATAACTTAAAATTATAATCAGTTAGAACTTTAAAAGTAGTAATTGATTGTATTCATTTCAATATGATGATATGTGTATTTTTATTCATTTTGTTTTTCATGTTTAAGTTTGTAGAATTACATTTGTATTCATATTTTTTTATTAGTTTGTATTCATTCTAATAGGTATACTAAATGAATTTTTAGTTAATTAAAATGATACTTGTATCCATAAAAAACTATAAATACGATATTTGTAGTCATATATACTTATGTAATATGTGTTCATTTAGAAAGGATACATTATTGGTTTGTATATTTTTTTCGAAAACGTTTATTCTTCAAAAAATTTCAGCAAATTCGTATTCCAATCATCAAAACATACAAATTTACAATCTTAGTAACAACCAAGATTTGTATTTCAAAAAATAGTAATAATTAGTAAATAAAAAATAATATGTCACAATTCTATTGTGAATACAATTTGCACCCTTTGACTCTCTCTCTCTCTCTCTCTTCTTCTTCTTCTTCTTCTTCTTCTTCTTCTTCTGATGATGATGATGATGATGATGATGATGATGATGATGATGATGATGATGATGATGATGATGATGATGACTTATGATGACTTCTGATGATGATGATGATCTGTTCCATTTTTTTTAGATTTTATTTTCACAAAAATCAAATTTGAATCTGTATTCGCTTGTGCATTAGTAACCCTATAAGAAAAGTTTAAAATTAATAAATATGAATGTATGAAAAATCAAACAACATATGATATATGAATATTAATGTACATTAGCACAATCTAAGATATCTCAAATGTGTAAAAAAACTCACAAAAAATTGAAAAGAGGATATAAAATCATAAATACATAAAATTTGAAATACAAAAAATATTTGGTGAATATGAAAATAAAACCAGTCCTCTTTTCAAACAAGATCGAAAAGATGACAGAAAATTCAAAATGAAAACATTTGGCGACTTCAAAATTACCTACTAAATCAAAATTACCTTTAAAGGACAACATGTTCTCGAAATCTCATTGAGAGAATATGAAAACATTTGATGAATATGAAAACAAAATCAGAACAAAATATTTGGTGACTTTAAAATTACCTTCATCAGCTGAGCGATTTCTTGATCTAATTGATACATTTTTTTAACAAATTGAAAGAAAATTGAAGAGTTAATTTGTCTTGAACAATGACTGAGAGAAAAATTGAGATAACGTGAAGAGAGATAGAGAATATTGACTTGCCTGAAAACCTAGAAACAATGGTAATGAATAATAAATGTATTTTTTTCACAGATTAGTTGCGTAGAAATTGATCCAATGTGGGACAGTTTTGAGAAATAAAAGGAAAGAAAAATAGTTATATTAGGATTCAAATAATCTTATAAAATATGTACATTTTGAAATTTTTAATAACTATTTTAAAGTGTAGATGTTTTTACTAATTATGTTAGAAATTGTGACTAGTTTGCTCATTTTTCTTATTAAACAATTATATTTTAGCTTTTTATGGGCTTATTTATGTATATTATTTTATGTATATGGTTTAACTTGACATGTACACTTAAAAAATAACAAATTAAAGATTAGAGGAGAAAATCGTTCAAATAAGGTAAATGTTGTTGAAAATCCTCATTACTTACATTACAAAGATGAATCGACCAAAAAAGGGCGCTTCTCACCCTTCATCCTCAAATGTCATTATCCATTTTTATTTTCCATTGATAATCTTTGTTTTTTGTAGATGTCAATTAAATTGATTAGCGCTTTACAATCTAGTTTTAAATTGGTGTCGATTATGGACAAACCTCACGTATAAATTTTTTATTTTTATTTGTCACGAGTCATGGATTATGAGTAGATGATATCGATTTAGTAAAGTGTTAATTTAAAGTTAGAAATTAGTCATTGAAGTATTATGAGTAGATTATGAATGTATGATTGTCATGACGTTGAATTAGAACTTGAACTTGAACTTGAACTTAAAATATGAACATGAACTTGGAACTTGCACTTGATAACTGGAACTTGAACTTAGAACTTAAACTTAGAATTTGAAGTTGAACATATACTTAAACTTAAAATTAGAACTTAAACTTGAACTTCAACTTAAAACTTTAACTTGAACTTAGAACTTGACTTGAAATTAGAACTTGAACTTTAACTTATAGCTTGAAGTTGAATTTAGAATTTGAAGTTGAACTTGAAATTAGAATTTAAACATGAACTTCAACTTATAGCTTGAACATTATCTTAGAGTGTGAAGTTAAATTTAGAACTTGAACTTGAAATTAGAAATTGAAATAAGAACTTGAACTTGAACTTAGAATTTGAACTTGAACTTAGAACTTGACGTTAACTTGAACTTACAGCTTGAACTTTAACTTATAATTAGAACCTAAATGTGAATTAGAACATGAACTTGAATTTGAACTCATATTCGAACTTGAACTTAGATTTGAACTTGAAATTAAAATTTGAACTTGAACGTAGGTCTTAAACTTAGAATTTGAACTTACGCACAGAACTTGAGCTTGAAATTCGAACTTGAACTTGAATATAGAATTTGAATTTTCACTTTCACTTGAATATAACTAAATCTTGATGCGCGTGCAAGATATTTGAATTCCACGTAACCCAAAAATGTGCACAAAATTTAAAAAATAAGTTCATGGGGTAATGTGACAATAGTTTAGTTAAAGTGTGTCTCTGAGATTTCGGTCATAGAATAGAGGGGAACTCGTGAATTTTCCGCTTAATTTATAATAATTTGAACATAATATAATTATATAATTGATTATTTGAAATCTTAAACTTAATTAGAAATTATGAATCAATGAAGCTTGAACTTTGTAGATCTCGAAATGTAATAAAATGAACTAATTAATTAGGTATAAAAGTAATGAGTGTTCAAGATAATTTCATTGGAAAACATCAATAACATCATATCTTAGTGTTTGAGAACGTTTAATTCAAGAACCCAAGAGTTAGAATAGAAATTGGATATCTCATCTTTTTGAAAACATTAAAAATCATCTTTGAAATTGTCTCTAAGGTAATAGCAAGCCTTAGATTAAGGAATCTCCTACCTTATTAGAAGAACCTAATGAAAATTGAAGTATAATCTCCATTTAAGAACCATCGTCAAGATCCATCTTCACCTTGAACTCTCATGGAGGTTTTTGAAGAAACTTTGGGAGGGAATGTGTTTTAATTTAGGTATGAGGGTTATAATGAGTATTTAATGACTTATATACTCTTAAAATACCCATAAACACTCAAAAAATCGTCCAAAGACTTTTTGGGGCTTAGGGTGAATTTACAACTTCACATCTCAACTTAACAGAAAACTGGCAGGAAATAGACAGCACTATCGACGCCAGCATCAATGGTCTGTGATCTCACCCACGCCCTGTATATGGTCTCTTGTGAGTAGCAAAGTCAATTCCTCAACTTGAAATCCAAGTCACTCCATCAACGCGACCCATCAATGGGATGTTTCCTGGTCGACTGGACGTCTTTTGGGCCAGTTGATTGCCATTGACTAGCAGTGTTGGGCACCAAGATGGGGTCCTACTAAGGTCCCCTTGTGGATCCGACTTGGATTTGGACCCGGATGTTTCAAATACAAATATTTTATCATACGAGTTTAGGACATACAACGTGAGTTTCATAAAAAATGAACACCTAAAACTCGACGAAACATGCATAGACACGCAAGGTTATTTCAAGGCAAACCTTTTGAACGTCATGGACGTTCACACACGGCATAAATACACTATTATAAATCATTTAAGAACCATATAACCTCATGAATCACACGTAAAACAACATTTGAGGCAGATAAGTGACTTAGATGTTGAACGTCTTGGTCGTCCCTTGACGTTTAACTTCCAATGCACCTAAACTCTTAGAAGCTGCCTCAAACCCACATTATAAACAATTTTAGGACCTCATACCAACAAAAAAACCATGTTAGGTTCTATCTTCACCTAAGTCTTTTTTGTGGTCTTTTAGGGATCATGCCTGATAGAATCCCCGAATCGAAATCTTGGCGTTATTGCATCTTCTTCTTCCTTCTCCTCTTTTCTCCTTTCTTTCAAAGCTTAGCCTATTTTCTAAATGGTAAAACTGATTGGGATAAGTTTAGACCCCAATTTAATACCCAAAACCGAAATTAATAATTAATTTAGGAAAAGAACAAAACACCCTTAACAAATCTGGATTTGGAACTTTTCTCCTCTCAATAGCCCATCTTCCGTACGTCATATATACCTCATACAACCTAATAAATTTTAAAACATGGCATTGTTGGAAAGATATTCCGCCGAGCTTTCCATCAACATAAAAAACTCAGCCAAACTCAGTTTTAAAATGACCATAACTCAGTTTGAAATCTAGGAAATTTTCCAGATTTTGCAGCCTCTTTCCAAATTTATATATTATTGTTTTTCTTATCTTAACCTTAGTGAATTCAAGTTACGAGATGTTACAATATATCCCCCTTGGGAATATTCGTCTTCGAATGATAATTCTTTCACTAAGTTAAGGATAGTAACATCAATTCAACACTCAACAATCAAAAGCAAGTAATAACATGTTTATACGAAACCTTATAAAGTGCTAAGAAGAGAATCTAGTACCTTGATCTGCTTTATATTCGGATGCAAAGATATGTGGATATCTCTTCTTCATATTCTCATTTACTTCCCACGTCGAGTGAAGAAAATTCTTTTGTCCTTAACTTGCGAACTTGACAATCCAAAATTTGAACAGGAACTTATTCATGGGATAGGTTATCCTCAATCCCAACATTCTCTGTTGGTACTATCAATGAAGGATCACCCAAGCACTTATTCAACATAGAAATATGGAACAGCAAATGGACCGCTGCTAAATCTTCGGGTAGCTCAGACCCATAAGCCACATTTCCCACTCTTTTAGAGAACCTATAACGTCCAATATATCAGGGACTAAATTTCATTTTTTTACCAAATCTTATAAAGTCCTTCATAGGTTAAACCTTAAGACATCCTTATCTACGTCAAACTCTAATGGCCTTCTTTTAACGTCTGTATAGGACTTTTGGCGACTCTGCGCTGTCTTCAACATTTCTTAAATTACTATCACCTTCTCCATAGCTTGGTGACCTAGATCTGTTACTATCAACCGTGCTTTGCAAAATGCAGACCACCCAATAGGAGATTTGCACATTCTCCCATAGAGAGCTTCATATGGAGCCATTTTGATGTTGGAATGATAATTATTTTTGTAAGCAAACTCAATGAGGGGTATTTAATCATCCCAATTTTTCCTTGAAATTTATTACACAAGCTCTCAACATTTCTTCTAAGTTTTGGAATAGAACAATATGCTTGTCCATCTGTGTGAGGATGAAAAGCAGTACTCAAATCCAATCTTGAACCCAAACATTTCTATACAGATTTCAAGAATTGCGCATTAAATTGTGCACATCTATCTGAAATAATAGAGACTGGAACACCATGAAATCTTACCACTTCTTGATTGTACAACTTAGTATAATCCTTGGCCAAATAGGTAATCTTTACTAGCAAGAAATGGGCTGACTTTGTAATTTTTTCGACAATCACCAAAATAGAATCATGTTGTCTTCGCGATCTTGGAAAGCCTGTGATGAAGTCCATATTAATATTCTCCCACTTTCATGTTGTAATTTCTATATTCTCATCTAAACCTTCAGGGCTTTGGTGTTCCACTTTCACTTGCTGACAATTTGAACTCTTGGAAACAAATTTTGCAATATCTCTCTTCATGCCTTTCAACCAATATACCTCCCTCAAATCATGGTACATTTTTTGGAACTCGATGAATGGAATATTTGGAGATATGAGCCTCCTCCAAGATCATCTCTTGAAGTCCATCTACCTTAGGAATAGATAATATGCCTTCATATTTCAGCACATAAGTTCGAAAGCCATTACTCTTTGGCTATGGACACTTGCCTTCATATAAAGCATAATAGGATCTTGGTCTTGTTTCTCTTTCACCTCTAACAATAATGATGAATACGCCTCATTGGTCATTACTATGCCTCCTTCTATTGAATCCATAATTCTGACTCCCAAACGTGCAAGTCTATGCATATCTTTTGCTAACTCCTTTTCTTCTTTCACATAGGAAGTACTTCCCATGGACAACTTGTTTACAACATCAACAACTATATTATCCTTACCTGGGTGGTAAATAATACTCATGTCATAATCCTTGAGTAATTCCAGCCACCTTCT